TTACCTTTGTTATCTCATTAATACTTGTATTCTTAGTAGTGTATTCCCTACCATTTGGAAAAAAGCTTTGATAAAGCCCTTGCCCAAATCGAACGCACCAACTCCTTTAAGTGATCTGGGGCCAATAAATGTGCTGCCGATGTTGTCAAAGGTTATGGAACGAATTTTATTTGAACAAATAAATAGTTAGGTGGAAGATAATAATATTCTACCCGTAAACCAGTCCGGTTTTAGACGTGAATTTAGTTGCACTACATGACTACAGCACTAATTCACATTATCGATGATATCCTGCGGGAGAATGATAGGGTTGGATTATTCCAAGGCATTTGACACAGTTGATCATGAAACACTCACAGCAATACTAGGTTATATTGGTTTTGAATATAATGCAAAAAAGTTATTAAATGATTTTCTAACAGGTAGAGAACAGACAGTATCGGTGGGGTTGATTGCTCTGATTTTCTGGAAATAAGATCGGTGGTACCGCAGGGATCGACTATTTCGCCTATTTTGTATGCATTATACACATCAAACTTGATGAAATCTTTAATTCCTAATACTTTAATTCATAATTGGTGATATTTTCACAAGCAATTTGTGACTATGTCAAATTTTGTGCGCATCGCAACACCTCCGACGTTTGTCATGGCAAATAATCCCAACTCCAAGCCTAATTTAATCTTCTGCATAAACAACATAAGACCGCTCATCACGTCTGTTAATGTCATTCCTGATCTGTACTCTGACCATCTGGGTCTTGTGATCTGCATTAATACAACCACTCGAATACCTAAAGTAGCTCCTACTCCGATCAAAAACTATAAACTTTGTAATATGGAAAGAGTGAACGCAGGAATAAAGAAATAGGTGAGATCTAACCCTGTTATTACACCCGAGTCTATCGCAACCTTTAATAAACGCTTGCTTAATTTGGTGGATGAAGAGAGCCCTTCCAACATCAAGAAACATTACGATTTTCCTCTGCCACCATTTATTCTCCGTTTGATTAAGGAAAAGAGACGACTCTACCACGATTTTAGATCCTATGAGGAGCCTGCTCTGAAAAGAATGTTCAACGAGCTTAATAAAAATATCCAAAAGCTAGTGCAGCAATTCAGAAGCGAAAAAGTCCGCAAACTTTCGAAGTACCAAAAGTCGCCAGAAACCCAGGAACTTACTGACCCTACGGATGGCTGCTCACACTCTAGCCCGGAAAAAATCGTAAACATCCACGCTGAATACCTTAAGAGGGTGTTTTCCTTCAGCAATGAGGCCCTGTTCTGCCCTCACAACAAAAACACAGTAGACAATTGGTACCAACACGCCTTTCTCAAGTCGTTCGAAACGCCTCAAGATGCTCTCATGCAGGAAAAAGAATACTTCACACTACTTAACAGAGGAACCAACACAGCCCCTGGATACGACAACATCTCAAGGGAAATCTTAAGGAAGCTGGATCTTGATATCCACGCCTACATAAGAAAAACAACTATTACCTTACCACCCAGCATTTCCCACAAGATTGGAAGACCTCTATTATCATATGCATCCCCAAGAAAGATTCTTCTCTATCCGACCCTGCGAAATACCGTCCTATCTCATTGCTACCCGTAATGGGGAAGCATTTCGAGGTACACTTGAAGAACAAGCTGCTCGATGTTGTTGCAAGGAGGATTCCGTCATACCAATTTGGATTCCAACAAGGTAGATCTACATCTCATCCCTTGGCAGTGCCTGTCTCAAACTTCCAAGTCGCACGTTACCAAAAACAACAATCCGCCGCAGTCTTCCTGGATGTTTGGAAGGCATTCGACTCCGTATGGCACAGAGGTCTACTGTACAAGCTAGCTATGTTGTAAATCCCATCTTATCTCCTTAACCTGCTAAAAAAAATTCTTTCAAACCGCTCCTCATTGGTTAAAGTGAAAAACTACTACTCTTCCAGTTTCACCGCTCAACAAGGTCTCCCTCAAGGCTCTCTCATCTCGCTAACACTGTACAACGTCTACTGCCATGAAATCTACAACAACAACCCAGACGTCTTTGATCTTACGCCCTATTTATCCAAAATACTGCTGACACTTATCCAAAACATAGAGGAATGGTACCGAAAATGGCGTATCCTAATAAATCCTTCCAAAACACAATTCTTCATCCCTTTCCTGCCTATTCGCGTTGCTCCTCCCACAATAATGATTCAATCTTCTCCTATCACAGCTGCACCAACTTGCAACTACCTCGGCATTACCTTGGATAGAACCCTTAAATTCTCTTTCCACGCCATCAAAGTAAAAATGAAAGTCAAAAACCGCGCCAAACACTTCCGCTCACTCTCATATAGAGGCCGAGGAATATCCACCAAATGCGCTACTCACATATACATTTCAATTTGCCTCATTAATCATGACTGAAGCGCCGAGAGGATCACAGTACCATCTGGAAGTAGCAGAGAGGCAGCCCTGAGAATTATCACTCGCATTAGACACCCTCACAACGCACTTTTCAACCCTTCCAACGAACTCCTATACGACCTTACAAAGATTCCTCTTATAAACTCCCGTCTACAATTCTTATCCCGTAAAGCAATTATGAACTTCCCCAAAAACGCCCTAAAAAATTTCATCATCACTCCCCTCTCCCTTACCCACTGTCCCATAACACGGCTCACATTGCTTAAAAAAATAAGGCCCAACTGAGAAGACCTACATCCAAACTGAAGTCAAAGTCATGGGCAGGAAGACTCAGGTCTATAGCCCTTTTGGACTCTTTTTTATATTTGTTTTATATATGTATTTTTTTCTCCTATTTGTTATAGTTATTTATCATATAAGTCCAAATAAATATTAATATAATTGAAATACAACTATGTGTATTTATAGATGGATGGTTTTTCTAATTTTCAACTCTACCGGTTTCGATCGTTACATTCAATCATCTTCAGCAGCCACGTCATTAAACATATTTTTAAAAAACATATCTTGTTTCTTATTTAAGCTGTTATCTTCGTGATCTTGATTACTTACTTCTTCTTTTCTTTGTTATCTTGTTATTTAGCTTTCCTTGCACCACTATACGCCATGTGACTAAATGTGAGTAAATAACAAGACAACAAAGAAAAGAAGTAAGTAATCAAGATCAAGACGATAACACCTTAAATAAGAAACAAGATATGTTTTTTAAAAATATGTTTAATGACGTGGCTCCTGAAGATGATTGAATGTAACGATCGAAACCGGTAGAGCTGAAAATTAAAAAAACTATCCATCTATAAATACACATAGTTTTATTTCAATTATATTAAAATTGAGATGGAAAGAAATAACCAAATAAATATCAAATTTATATTGTTTTCTTCTTCTTGTCGATTATTTCAAAAATTTATTTCTCAAGAACTAAAAGCGATTTTTGCATTAAAAAGATGATACCATAATTAATAATTGGTGATATTTCCACAAGGATCCTTCAAGAAATTAATTTTATAGTGAATTTTCAAGTTATCGATGAACATTGTAACATCGAAAATTTTATCAAAACTTCAAATATTGTTTTCTCAAAAACTAAAAGTTATTTTTCAAAACGGGTTGGTTCAATGGAAAGAGGACACTTTTATGAACACTTTGGAAAAGTTTCATACTCATATTCCAAGAAATAGATTTTATACGAATTTTTAAAACATAATCGGTGAAAATTGAAAAATTCGAAAAAATTGTCGATTATTTCAAAAATTTATTTCTCAAGAACTAAAAGTGATTTTTCAAAACGCCTTGTTAAATTAAAAAGAGCATACTTTAATTCATAATTGGTGATATTTCCACAAGGATCCTTCAAGAAATTAATTTTATAGCAAATGTTGCAAGTTATCGATGAAAATTACAACATCGAAAATTTGATCAAAACTTCAAATATTGTTTTCTCAAAAATTGAAAATTATTTTTCAAAACGGATTGGTTCATTGGAGAGAAGACTCTTTTATTAAAACTTTGGGAAATTTTCATACTCACATTCCAAGAACTGGATTTTATACGAATTTAATCGGCGAAAATTGAAAATTTCGAAAAATTATCGATCATTTCAAAAATTTATTTCTTAAGAACTGAAAGTGGTTGAACATAGTCGAAGTTGTGGAAATGTTTATTATCTCGCGGGCCAGATTAGAACTTTACGTGGGTAGGAGGTTGCATACCGTTGATATAGACAACTCGGGTATATACCCCGAGTTTATTTATGAACATGGAATAGAGCAGCTTAGAGAATAACCCGACTTGGATTCTATCTATGAGTCCAAACATTTATATTTAAACATACTAATGTATTAAGCCAGATTATTGTATATTTTTATTGAACAAAAAGTAAAATTAACACTAGACCTACATCCAGAAACATTTGGATTTAAATATCGGCTAAATATCTTCTCATAAACTTAATATTTTCAAAATTCAAATCCAAACCTAACAAAATTTAATCCAAGTCTCACACCACTGATATCTGTTAATTACAAATTTATCTATATATTTTGATAAATTTTTTTGCCCATATTAAGTAAATTAGTTGGTAGTTTTAGAAAAAAGTTTTAATAAAAACTATTTGTTTAATTGGTTATTTTTGGAAATAAACTATGATCTAACGACAATCTGTTCAATTTAGTTTCAATTGACCGAAATTAACGAAATATCAGCTGGTTAAAAGGAGTTCGGAAAAAATTAAAAAATTTATTTAAAATGTTTCAAGGTAAACATTAAATGAAATAAATTAATTTCATAAAACTGCAGTGTTGCTTTTGTTTGATTTTGTTTTTTAATTCTTCAAACAAAAACAACCTTATGTTATAAATAACGTTATTCTAATATAATTTATTTTTGTTATCGTGCGTTTGATGTTATTCCTTGGATGATTATTTATTTTCGCATTTTATTCATCACAATTCAAAACATTACAGCAATTTCAAGTATTTACAACTAAATTATTGTTATTATTAATTTATAAAATATAATTCTTACCTTAAAGTTTAATGAAATTTAATTAAAAAAAATTAATCCCCATTTTTCGATGTTATACTACATTAAATTGCTTAAACTAAGAGTATCGATGCGCTCACGTTCACTTCCACTGAAAATCTAACACTTCAGCGCTTCACTCGTCCTACTACAACTCCTGAAACTTAACCGATTCGTAACGGCGCCTGTCTAATAAAAAACTAGGTTTATTTTGCATCCAATCCAACTATATCAAACAACTTTAATTAATTTAATTCAACTATGTGTTACTTACTTCATTTTCCTTTTAAAAATAATGTTCGAATTTATAATCAAATAAAGTAGTGGAAAATATAATTGAATTAATTACTTTTATTTCCACTAAACAAAAACATTTTCTAACAAACAACATTTTTCTTTAGAAATTAATCGTTGAATTTAATCTACGTTACCCAGTAACCTTTTCCATTATCATCATAAAGACACATCAATAAGAAAAATCAATAAAAGGGAAAGCGTCACGCACCCTTTATCTTTTCTTTGTTTTTATTCAGAGGTTTGATGGCAAAGGAAGGCGTCGAAATGTTATCGAAATTAAAATATTGCGCTCAAAATACAAGTTTGCACGGAATTCGATACATTGTTGATGATAAAATCAACCCTGTGATAAGGTAATAAGAAAATTAACAAAGAAATTGTAATGAGTTAATATTTTTTTTTTATTTAGATTCATTTGGTTAATCATAATGGGATTATCAATTTACGGAATGCTTATTATTTTAAAAGGATCTTATGAAAGCTACAAAAACGATTCGATTAGTTTCGTAACTGAAACTGCTTATTTAGATTGGAACACTACATTTCCCGCAGTTACAATTTGCGAAATTAATAGTGCTGATATTACATGGACTAACGATAAGTAAGATTTAATTTATAATAATCACTAGTGGTGGAACGGATATCCGGCCTATCCGACCATTTTTTAAAATCCGGCTGGATGGCTTTGGCCGGATATTAAAAACCTATTACATAGTACTCCCCCATTCGCAGGAATTAGTATGTCTTTTAGGTGTTGGACACTGCAGATAATAATTAAGTTCAATCCAAATAGGACTTTTTTCATTGAATACAACTTTAGTTATATCAGGTTTGTCATTAGCAATGATAAGCATCGATAATTTCGCTATAAAATTAATTTCTTGAAGGATCTGTTAACTATTTAAACACACTCCTCTGAATGGCTAAACAACTCTTTATTATCCAACGGTTACACTTAATCCAACGGTTTTTTAAACTCTACTCTAAACCTTATGCCTACATATGTGCCAGTTTTTAAATATACACACCACAAGAACCTCCCCACGCCATCTATCGTACAAAAGCCGCACCACACATAAAAGAACGCTAACACTCGGCCACCCTGATGTTAATCGCGCACCCGCGCGATGTTATACTTCATAATCATTTAAATATGTGGGTTTTCTTCGTATTCGTCGAGTTGTAGATTCCTCTCCGATTTCTATCGTTGAAGTACTGCGACAAGGCGGATCGTCTTGCTCCTTCTCACTCTCATCTGAGGGTGATTCTTCCTCGGTTTCATCATCCGACTCCTCATGATTTTGGTATATTTTTAATTGCGATACATGGGCAGTTGTGGCAAACTTTCGCTGGTCTTCTACGTCCAAAGTTGCCACTCGATATGTGTCGCTTGGCAGTACGGCGATCACTTCTAACGGCCCTCGGTACTTATCTTGTAGCTTTGTCGGTTCGCCATCTCCCGGCTTCGCGACACGCTTCATAAATACTATGTCACCAACGTTAAATTTTAAACCTGAATATCTTTTTCGGTCATATCGTTCTTTATATCGAATTTGTTCTTTTTCGATCACATCGCGCACTTCACGTTGTACAGTTTCAGATGGTATCCACTCGTTCTGCGCGTCTTTAGCTACTGTTTTTAATTTAGCGGATCCAAATTTTGGCAAATACCCGTAAAGTACTTCGTACGGCGTCTTACCAGTGGTTTTGTTTACCGCAAGATTTAAATTCTGCTCTATTTGAATTAGATTCGTATCCCATCGGTCCTCTTCTTCTTTTTCAGTCATTAAACACGGAATTAATGTTCGGTTTACTCGTTCCACTTGACCGTTCGCACTTGGCCATTGAGACGAATTTAGCGTTTGTTTAATACCACACTCCGTCATGAATTTCCGAAAATTGTCCGATGTAAAACTTGTTCCCCGGTCACAGACAATTTGATCTGGAATCCCGAATTGATCAATGAACTTTTTCAATACACGAATTGTCGAAACAGTCTTTGTATCACGAACCGCATACAACTTAACAAACTTAGTCAACGCGTCCACGACCACCAGTATGTGTACATTTCCCTTCTTGCTACGAATTAATGGTCCTAGGTGATCAATGTGAATGCGTCCAAACGGACGCTGAGATACAGGTATTGGATGTAGTTCTCCCGGTTTCTTCCCACTTGGAATCTTTGATAACAAACATTCAACACAAGCTCGAATATGACGTTTCACGTATGATCTCATGCCTCCAAACCAATAATACTTTTGAATGNATATATCTGCAAGGCTAGTAATTACTTGATTCACAAATTCTCTGCCATTGTCACTATGAAGCAAGCAAGGTGCCCCCACTATGCAAAAAATATCCATCAAGTTATATGCTACTTCTTCTGCCTTTTTAGTTTTTAGAGGTTTTAAAAACACAAATTTTGTGAGGTGGTCTTGGTAATTCATGATAAACTTATAAGGGCCATCCGGTTCTGTTTGCATATCAATAAGATCAATTTGTCCCCTTTTATTAAATCCTGTAGAAATTATTGGTTTTACTACTAATCCTTTCTGCTTCGATTTTTTCTTTAATTGACACATAGCACATAATTTCAAATACTCTTCAATGACACTTCTGGGAATATTACAATATTTCTTAGCAATTTCTTTTTCCATTCCTAATCTTCTTTTATGGCCAGTATCTTTATGAACTTTTTCTAAAATGCCGTGTACCTCCGTAACATCGCAATAATACCTAATAGAAACCACATCATCATTCTTTCGTTTTGCAATAATTTTCTCTTTATCACCAATTCTTAGAATTTCAAATCTATTCAAACGCCTATAATCTTGACAACTTAGTTTTTCCTTCGTCTCTTTCTTTGACATGCTGTTCTTTACTTGATTTAAAATACTTAAATAATGCTCAACAGTTAGTACGGTGGTAAAATTATTAGCGCCACTATTTTCAATTAATTTAAAAAGCTTAGTTTCAAAAATTTGTTTTTCAACTAAATATTTTTCACTTTCCATATTTAAAGTCAACCACTTTATATTTAAAACTTTATAACTTCGGTAACTGCTAAAAACAGTAAAACGTACTAATAAACACACTGCACGTAAGTGATGTCCCTCATAAACATCCCAAAAGAGGTTATGTGTAGTTCCGATCGGATCGCCGCATTGTGCAAATGTACATATCGGGACGTGTTCAAACTGATATGGTCAAATCCCGATTGTATCATTTTTTCGTCGTGTGACCTAACAGCTTTAGACATATGCCGATATGTCTAAATAAATCGGCCACGGGCCGAATTCGTCATCTGCCTCCAACATGTATATACAACAAAAATAAAAAAGTGAGGGGGTGAGAATAGGGCTACCGACTAGGGTCTTTCTGCCCGTGATTTTTGTAGTCGGCGGCTTGTTTCAGTCTTCTCTGACAGCTAGGAATTTTTGGAAGAGAAGAGGTGGATTGTTGCGAGGGTGGAGTAATCGAGGCAATATAAGCGTGTGTTGCAAGGCGTTGGTAGGAAAATTTAGGATGGATTTATCGGACAAAGATTGAAGGCGGGTATGGATAGGGGGGATATCGGTAAGTTGATATAGCGATCATTGCTAGGGTTAAAGAGGGGATTACGGGGGTTCCCAATTCGGGTGATGGATCTCAGTGCAGATCTTTCCGCTACTTCCAGGTGGTACTTCGTTCTTCTTGGTGCGTCGCTTAGCAGTATTGATCCATATTCTATGATGGGCCTGCATATGGTCTTGTAGATGTGCGAGGCACATGAGGTAGAGATTCCGCGACCGCTGAACGAGAGAGATTTAAAGTGTTTGGCGCGTGTCTTTACTTTCATCTTCACCTTGGTTGCATGAGTGGAAAACTTAAGCGTTCTGTCAAGTATTATGCCAAGATACTTGCAGGTTGGTGAGACGGAGATTGCCGTTGATTGGATTGTAATTGTGGGAGAGGGAGCGCGGGGTGAAAGGAATGGGACAAAAAATTGTGTTTTTGTGGGATTGAGTCAAGGTTTATATATTAAAGGTTGTCTAAGTTCCTATGCTGCAATACTTTGATTTTAGTTTGTGGGCGAGGGGCAAGAGCAGGAGTGTTTCGTGACGTAAGCGATCACGGGTGGCACACAAAACCTCATGGCCATGTGGTGCTCCATGCCTTTGTTTTATCTGAATTGCTTGGCGGTATTATTTTCCACATGTGACGTAATGCGCAGTATGGTTGCGTACGAACCTAGACAACCTCTTATATATAAACCTTGGGATTGAGTAGGATGCGCCATTTTCGGTACCAATTTTCCGTTTCATTTATGAGCGTCTGCAGCTTACGGACCGACGAAGTGATGTCCCTACTGTGCGAGACCAATGCTGTGTCGTCGGCATAAAGTAGTACGTATGCAGTGAGGTTAAAGGCGTCTGGGTTGTCGTTGTAAACATCGTGGCAGAATAGATTGTATAGAGAGGGAGAGATAGGCGAACCCTGAGGAAGGCCTTGCTGAGCGGAGAAGCTGTGGGAGAAGTGATTTTTCAACTTCACGATGGAGGAGCGATTCGACAGGAATTGGTTTATCAGGGTTAGAAGGTAGTATGGCGTTTTTAGCTTATCCAGTTTAAATAGCAATCCTTTGTGCCACACTGAGCCAAAGGCCTTTCGGACGTCCAGAAACACTGCTGCGGATTTCAGTTTTACAAAACGTGCCGCCTGGAAGTTGGAAACCAGAATAGTTAGTGGCTGGGACGTTGATTTTCTGGATTGGAAGCCAAATTGGCAAGGCGGAATTATCTTTGATACCGCAGCCAGGAGCTTGTTCTTCAACTTGTTTGTTGTTCAGCTTGTTCTTCGAATTTTTCAATTTTCGCCGTTTAAGTTTTAAAAATTCGTATAAAATCCAGTTCTTGGAATGTGAGTATGAAACTTTCCCAAAGTGTTAATAAAAGTGTCCTCTTTCTAGTGAACCAACCCGTTTTGAAAAATAACTTTTAGTTTTTGAGAAAACAAAAACATTTCTTGAAGGATCCTTGTGGAAATATCGCCAGTTATTAATTAAAGTTCATCATTAATCGAAAAAGTTCATTTTGTATCTTGAATCCAAATAAGTTGACATATCTTATCAGCTTTCTTATTTATTTCATATTTATTCAAATATCGCAATAATGTGGCAATATAGGGTATCACTTCAGAAATGCACCAGAAATTATAACCATAATGACCGAATAATTATGCCGGATATCCGGCCGAAGGGGATGCCGAATATTCGGTATCCGGCTTTTCACAAAATCACTATCCGTTCCAACACTAATAATCACTTTGTATTTTGTGGTAATTTTTAGTGATACTCAAGAATATTCTCCCGTACAACAATTTTTAGCCGACTTAGTGTTCTTCACGGGGAGTTGTTACAGTTGCTCGGCTGATTGCGAAGAATGCCGCCGATTAAATTTTAAAGAAATGGTTAAAAGGTTTCGAAAACCTTGTAAAAAGTTAATAAAAAATTGTCTGTGGAGAGGGCAAAAATTCGATTGTTGCGAAAAATTTTTACCTTTAAACACGGAATACGGAGTTTGCTTTTCTTTAAATTCAATGCATACAAAGTAAAAAATGTATACATTTGTATTCTTTATTAATAACCATTATTTTTAAGAAAAACTTTTCAATCTCACCTAGACATGGAATCGAATCGAAAAACGGGACCCGGAGAATTAATAATTGAACCAATCGATGATATAAGAGTAAATAAATCAAATTTCTTCATTACATTTTTAATTAACGTCATTTTTTTTAATTTCAGTTTTATTTTCATGCTCGCGAAGATGTTCCTTTTATTAATTCAGATCCGGATCAACGCAGAGATGTGATGCTCGGTGAAACTTTTAATGTTATGTTTAAAGTATTGCTTTTATTTAACTTTATATTGATTACACAGGCCAATGTTAAAGAAAACAGTTTTTGTTGAATTTGTGAGAACTTTGTGATTAAAAACATCCATTCACAAAGAATAGCTTTGTGTTGAATATCTTAGAAAATGGTCAAAGAAGGAAAAAACGTGTTTAGATTTAAATTTGTTATTCGAATGATATTGAAAGAAATGAGTAATCACATTAACCACCCTACGTTTTGGATAATGTTATCCTAGATATCGTCCCCTTTACGCCAAAACCATGAATGTGCAATTTTGCCATGTTACAGAAAACAGGTTTAAAGATAAATTTCAGATTCTAATTGTATACTTACGTTAAACAAAAAAGTTAAGGTGGATTTTTTTACCGTAAAAATGGTGTGTTTAGAATACCACAAACAAAAATTTAATATTATAATATATCCAGTTTTTTTTAAGAAAAGTCATTCGCGATTTTGGCAGACCAAAAAATAATTAAGTTTGTTACATTCGTGACAAAAAGCAGTTTATACCTGAAGAGGATAGGATGAAAAAACTCTATATATTCATACAAATAAGGATAATGGAAGTCCGAAAAAGTAATCTTTATTATATAAGTGAGAAAAAACAAATTTAAACCTAGAATTAGAGTAAATGAAACTTAAAAGCTATAAAAACTACTCATATTCTGAATCTTCATCCATGTTCGGTTCAGGCAGCCGAAGGGTTCGGTGCAGGTTCTGGAAGGGATTCACTAACCGCTTTGTTTGGATCTTCCATTTGTTGATGTCGGCCTCTATTCCTTTTCACATTTTCTTCACACAGTGAAGGCTTCTTAAAAGAAGTTTTATCAAATATTTTTGTCTGCTCATCTTTACTGTAATGCAGCCAGTAGACGCAGCCAAGGAATTTTTATCTTCGTCGCCGTTTTAAGAATTGGTCGCCTTTGGTCAGCGACCAACTCTTAAAATCAATAAACTTGCTGAAAGATAACAGTTTCACCTCGTATGGTCTTGGATTGAGTCTTGTATGAGCTGGGCCCATCCCTCTGGAATATGAATGGGGACAAATTTTGATTTCTTTTTTATTTTTGAATGTATGGAATCACACTCCATTTCGGTGTGTCCAATTTGTGACCTATTGTTTTAAGAGTAGGATGTTTGGTAACAGCATATAGACACATTGATGCAAAAATCGAGCAAATCGATTTTTTGCTGACCTCCACATCCATCTGACATCATCCGAACCTGGGTAATTGAGGGATGACTCATAATGTATTCAAAAATACATGTGGATATTTCGTTGGAACCTCTGTTCCCTTGTGTTTCATCCCATAAGTTACAAATAACCTCTTGGTTACCGAGGTTATAAATGGTTAAATTGTATACAGGCAATTTCCGCATGTAAAATATTTGACCTGCAGGACTTTTGGGAGTAGTGAGTACTGTCTGCAAATCAAAATTAAAGGACAAAACGTCAGGATTTTCTTGGGCAGCAATCTTGTCGTCGTTTCTACATTTTCTGGCATCTTCCTTTCTATCGAGATGAAGTTTATGAGAATGTTCTTGCTCTTTTTGTTGTTCTTCATCTAAATTAGAAAATGCTTCACAGTGTTTACAGGCATATTTCTTAGGCCTAAAAAATCCCAAGTGATACTCTCGAAATATGCTTCGATGCTTCGCAAGAGAAGCAGGTTTTATTTTGTCTGTAAAGCATTTTTCTTGGTATAATCTGTACATTATGGAAACATTAAGATTAGTATCCAAGTAACGTTTGTTGCTTTTCTTCCTGCAATAATGTGATTCGTCGGGAAAGAAAGAATGTGATCGCGTATGAATTATTCTTCGGAGATGGCATTTTATTATGAGGAGTATACTTTCCACGTTTGTCTGGCGACATAAACTTCCGAGCTTTTTTTCGCCAAACAGCTTCTTATAAATGCATCTATGACATTCAATGTACTCATGAAAAATTCTCGACAAACAAGTTTTTTTCGCCATTAGCTGTTAGATGGTATTGATTAGTGAATGTCCTCCTGGAGTTGGTAAGTTTCCTTGTCGTTCGGTTCTTTGTTCCTTGATGTACGTGCCTTATTAGAAAATGTCTTTGTTCATCCAATGAATCAAGACTTCTAAATTCCTTGTAAATATAATATGCCCTAAGTTCTTCGGGAAAAATGTTTGAACATTTGTGTTTAACTCTGCCCGTGCAAGGTGACGGTAACATAGGCGTCGCTGGATGAATAATGTTTTGAAATCGTAGTCAGTGGAATCTCCACTATTGTTTGCCTCACTTTCGTCTGGGTTTGCTAAAAATATAAAAAAATATAATAAAACCTACCCTACATACCTAGCCAAAGAAAACCCAAATTTATCATATCTTATCAACTAAAATAACATACCTGATACAAAAGGAACATCCGTTGCTGAGGAAGGACCAGTCCCAGTATCATCCAAAATGTGCAAAATTATATTATAAAAAAGTTGTGTACGTTATTTATAAATCTTATCTTCAGCTGTGATGTGCTTCACAAGCTTAAGTGCCTCATCTAAAATTCGTTTTGTTCTGTTTTTCATTGTGGTGTTTTCACTTAATATTAACCAATTTTCACAAAATAACTAATGTGTTTGAACAAACTTTATTGAAACATAACCTTGAAGTTGCAACAAATGTAAACAAAGTAGATTCTAAGACCAAGTCATGAAAGTGTTAAAACCTGTAAATCCTGAAACGCCAAAACCGCGAATGTGACACATTCGATATTTAGGCTTAAACTTAAACAAAAATTCTCGTTGTCACATACGCTATATTGGACCCCTCTGTCACTCCGTCAAGCTTTAATATTTTAGCACATTCGTGCTTTTAAAACATAGAAGGTTGGATTTCCTACCGCTTTGATGCACAATCCCCGAAAGTGCCAAAATTACACATTCGTGGTTTTAGCATAAAGGGGACGATATGTTATTATTGTTGCTGCCGGACTGAGGAGAGCGACCCCTCTCGTCACCGTGACCTATGAGATCTATTGTAACTTAAGCCCTCCAAAGGGCAAATCTAGGTCCTTGACGAACCTTAGTATTGCTCCAAGGCCTTGTTCTTTTATGTCAGTAGATGTCAAGCGAAACTTTCCGAAAGTTTTGTGTCTTAGACGGTCTTTGGCGATGCATTCACACAGAATATATCTCTGACTTGTCGTTGCAAAGTCAACAAGTTTGATCATCAGCTTGTTCATGAAACCTCTTTGGCTTTCTTTTACCTCCTCGCTGCCTTCTCTTTGGCCAGCTTCTTCGCCTTTTCATTGTCCTCAATGTCTTTGTGACCTGGAACCCACCATAGAGTAACTTCATCACTTCCTGGCGAGTTTTTTCAGGTTGCTCGTACATTCTTTGTCCAGGGCGGATTCACACGTGTAGGTCTGAATTGCCCGACTATCCGTAAAGATGTTTATCGATGCCCCTTTCTGTCCCTTTTCAAGGTGGACACAGGCAACCATGGGTCTAATTATTGCCAGTTGCTTTCAAGAAACCTGCAGAAGACCTGGTTAGCCATAATGGCCTCTGTTGTGTTCTGTCAATAAAAGTCAGGATCAATACTATTTTATTGAACAAAACTAGAATTATTTTATTTTACAGTGCCCGTAACAACGTGTCTTGACTTGTCGTCTTCGTCATACTTGTTGTACTTCACACTGGTTGGTATTGCCAACCTAATGTGCAACAATCTCTAGGCATTTGACCTCTGTTTTGAGGTTAGCTTCCTTCTCTGTGAGTGAAACGGATTATTTGTATTTTATTTGGGTTAATGCTGAGCCCATTATTTCTGCATCAGCTAGTATATGGGCTTGCTGCATTAATTGGGTTATAATTGTATTATATTTACCTCAGATTGTAATTAACAGGTCATCTGTATATTCCTGTGTGGATTAACACTTAAACCTTGACACCTAAATAGATTAACAATTATCCATTCTCTGTTAGAGTGTTCAACAAGTTGCCAACTACTAGGCACCTTAGCAGAGGTGAAAGCACTCCCCCTTGGGGTCATCCTCTAAGTGCCTTAACACACAATCTTTTCAGCATGGCTATACACAAATTACTCGTCGACGGATGTATGTCTTTTACGTTGAGAGGTTTCTTTATGGATTCAGATCAGCGTTGTAGTCTCATGTATGTTCGAGCTTGAAATGCCTATTGTTCAAGATCAAGGCACATTGAATCGTGCTCTTTTGTGCTTTATAGAACAACTTGATTCATATGCTTTATGTGTAATATTGTTTAATTGAATAGAGATCCCCTCTGCTTTCAATGTTTGTTTAGATTTTTCAACCTCTTTGCTGGTGTGTCTGCAATAGGAACACCAATCAGTGAGTGAGGGGATTCTGAATTCTATTAGTTTTGTCGTATCTGCTACAATGACAAAGCGAATCTGCATGTGATCGGCTAAAGTGATTTCACGGGATACCTGCCAGTTTGAAATTTGCTAACTGAGTCGAGGAGTAGCCAGACATATGTCTAGCGCCTCTTGTCGGCCTTTTGTTACAATAGTCGGCTCCTTACCTCTGTTGAGGATATCTAGATTTGTATTTATTAAGGTACTCGCCCCTTTTGTTTGCGTTTTAGCTGTTCCATGCGAGATGGTGTGCGTAGTAGCCCAAGACGAGTTGTTTTCTCCTATCCTTGCAGTACTTGATGAGGTCTTTCGGTTTCTAACGGTGGATCGTCCGATTCACCGGGAAAGTAGGCCGAGGCTATAACTACCTGTTGCAGATCCCTAGTAATTAATTGGGTTGGGTTGGGTTGGGCAGTTTAGGGAGGATTTTGCGAGTACCTTGCTCGCAGGCACTTTCCTCTGCAATAAATTAACTTACCTGCATTTGTCGTTAGTCTTCTGACTATACCTCTATATACATATGGCACTAGAATCAGCGCAACATGTGTGGAGGAGCTATGGAACCTCTTCAGCAGCACGTCGTAGGTGCTTGTGTAGTTCTTACCCTTACTTTTATAGTACTTCCTGTAGCTTTATGGTGTCTGTTGTAGAGACACTGCTTACAGTGGAGGAAGCGGAAAACATTGTAAGTGCGCTTCCACTTGTTGAAGACTGGATATGTTAATTAGTGCATATAGTCAACGATGCTTCGATCATTGACTATAATGTTGGCTATTAGATTAGCTGTCATTACTATGTTCACGGCTACGCGAAACACATGTGCTGACGGTTTGTCAAACCAATCTCTAAGATTTTTTTAGTCTGGGTGTAGTCCTAGAACACCACCTCATGGAATGTTAGAGATCAGGAGATTATTATCGAGATGAAAAAGCACAAACTAAAGGCCAAAGAACATCAAAATATGGAGACTACATCTTACTATACAGCGGAATGGCAAAACTAGTAGGTATACAAGAAGCAACGGAAGAATCTAGATTTTGTAAAGAAGTAAGAGAATTTTGCTGAAAGAAAAAGGAAAACCTATCCTAACAAATTTGATCGATCTAATACCACCCAAGAAGTCCTCCGACAACCACTTCAAAATTAAGAGACCGGATCTAAGAGAAAGAAGAAATAGTGCTTCTACCGAAACTTTTTCTTTCCATTATTTTTCCCTGTATTATTAAATGTAGTGATCCCCGGGGGATCACGGAACACCTAATTGCGAGAGTGAAGGAAGTATACATGGAGACTAAGGCTAAGATAAAAGTGGGAGATAAGCTGAGCGTCGTGTTCTGGACGACGAAGGGACTAAGGCAGGAATCTCCGCTGAGCCCAAGGCTGTTTGCACTGTATACGGCGGACCTGGAGGATAGATTGGGGAAGGGGCAAATGGGAGGGTTTCTGGTGGGAGGTAGAAAGGTGGGAGATAAAGAACAGAAAACTGGAGATAGGAGGGAAAAAAGATCGAGGTGGTTAGGGACTATACTTACTTGGGGTATGTGTTTAGGGAGGACAACAGGGAGGGGTCGCATGTGATAGCTATGGCAAAAAAGGCGAATAAGGTGATGGGACAAGTATGGGGTTGGGGGAAGAGAGTATTTGGAAGGAATGTGGCAGCGAGGAAGATTATGTTTGAAGGTCTGGTTAGCAGTGTGATGATGTATGGGGCAGAGGTATGGGGATGGAGGGAGCAGGGACCGCTGGAGGACGTGCAGGCTAGATATTGGAGATGGGTGCTTGGGGTGGCGAGAGAAACACCGGGGTATATAGTGAGGNCCATTACTAAGGTTTTATGTATAAAAAGTTTTTCTCCATCGCTTTTAGTTTTTGAGTTACGATTGAGTTAATTTTCGAAAATCAACAATTTTGATGTTTAATCGATTTAGAGCTTATAAATAAAAAATGGTAATAATTGGGTTCAATCTTTTTTATGATTGAGTTAATTTTCGAAAATCAACAATGTTGATGTTTAGTCGATTTAAAGCTACTAAATAAAGAACGGTTATAATTGGGTTCAATTTTTTTTATAGATCTAGTCTTTATGGTCCATTACTAAGGTTTTATGTATAAAAAGTATTTCTCCATCGCTGTTAGTTTTTGTGTTATGATTGAGTTAATTTTCGAAAATCAACAATTTTGACGTTTAATCGATTTAGAGCAATAGTGTCCACTATTTTTGATCAAAATCGACTTTTTATATAAATGTCTTGCCAAGATCGACCGAAGGGTTTAAAGTAACCTTCCTTTTTTTTGCTCTTAGGCCCAGATATTAGATATTTCAGATTCATGATTTTCTTGGCGATCGACTCAAAACTGCTTTGCGATCGACGTTATGGACACCACTGTTCTATACAATGTCCAGAACTCAACCTCGCAAAGGACCACAAGGAAAATGCAAGAACCACAAAGCATCTTAGCATTCTGATTTTTAAATCGTTCTTTAAGTCGTGTACAAAAGTCCTGCCTCATATTTATTAACGTTGTTCGTGCTTTAGTTATTCGACTCTTAATTTCCTCACATGCGTCCCATCTCTCATCAACTCTCTTTAACTCGAAAAAGATTTCTATATCTTTCAGCATTTATAACATCTTATTAGGTTGAACTTTACCGAAGACTTCCTCAAAGTCAATTACCTGTGTGTTGAGTGATTTGGATTTTACTATCGAGCTTTTTATAGATTCTTCATTATATTGTAGTGGGGAAATGAGATGATGATTCGGTGATTTCCCGTTTCCTTCTCAATTCCTCTGTAGTTGACCGCTGTTGCAGTTCTTCCACCTTAAGAGCGATTTCTCACCCTTAGAACTAGAGATAGCCTTTAAGTTAAAACAAGAAAAAGCTTAAGGATCTAATAAACACTAAAATGTTTATTATAAAGTGTTTTTTTGTTGACCTGTGTTATTTTGAAAACAATTAATTCAAATTTTTTTAGGTAACCGAAATAGAAAATGACGAAAACGTTATTCACGTACCAGTAAAAATCCGAAATTGTCGATTTCCATCAGAAAATCCCCCAAATTTAATCGTTCACAATTTTTATAGCTACTCAACATGCATCGTTCAGTGCCACGCAGACGCTCATTTAGATCTTTGCAATTGCACCCATCATTTAATGCCAGTTTTGGGTAAATTAAAAAGATTCCAACTTTATTAACTTATAAATTTGATTTTTTTATTTCGTAGGAGACCATAAAATGTGTGATGTTGATGGATTAAAATGTTTAACTGACAAATTTGGTATGCTTTTTTTGATACTTTTTAAAATAACGTTAATGATTGTATATAAATACAATAGATATTGTAAATCGATTGCATGCCAAAGGCTTTGATAAACCTGGATTGGTTTGTGAATGTGTTCCTTCGTGTACAGAACCGGAATATAAAGTCGTTTTTGATAGTAAAAGGTAGAGAAATACTGATTGAAACTTAACAAAATTGTATTAATTGTTGTTTAGTATTGGAAATGTACCCAGTAAGATTATTTTAAAAATGGGATCTCTTCCAACATCGAGATTTAAAAGAAATGTTGTGCGAACAACAATGGATTTAGTTGGTTCGTACTTTTTTTTCTTTTTAATTAAATGCATTGATAAGTTTTTTTTAGTGTCGATTGGGGGAAATGCTGGTTTATTTATTGGAGCTTCTTTATTAAGTGTAATTGAATTGATTTATTTATTATTTCTTAGACGTTAAAGGTAAACCAACAAATTTATTGATGTAAATCCTGAATTGTAGACAACCAACAATAACTGTAATTAATTTTATGATATAGTAATTCAGTTGTAAATTTAGTTTTAGCATAAATAACAACGATACCTTTATATCATCTAACTTTTTCTCGATAAATAAACACTCACAAAGAGATTTCTTCATTACAATGTTGGGTGAACCTCTACATTTTAAGAATATAGTGCCAAATTTTACATAAAATCGTTGTTATATCTTCTTTTTAAATTAAGAGGAGCGTTTTAAATTTGTTACAAAAGTCAGATGGATGCAAGATTCTTTTATAAAGCTCATTTTTCGTTATTTATAATACATTCAATTTTACATTCAAAGGATTTATGTAACTAAACCATTTTGACTGTAATACCACAACATATTGAACGAAATCAGTTCTTTTTAGAGTTAGATATGGTTCCTGAAATTAAGATTAGCTCACAAGAAGAAAGGCTTTACTGATGAAATGATAACCAGAGTTCGCCCTTAACAGTGGTTCTATTGTATTTAACACTACATACAGTGTGTTAATTAATTTAATAAAGTTTTGAAATGATCGAAAATTTTTTCGAATTTTCCAATTGCAAAATTGGGTATAAAATTAATTTCTTGAAGGATCCTTGTGGAAATATCACCAATTATGAATTAAAGTATCCTCTTTTTAATGCAACAAGCCGTTTTGAAAAATCACTTTCAGTTCATAAGAAATAAATTTTTGAAATGATCGACAATTTTTTCAAATTGTTCAATTTTCGCCGATTAAGTTTTAAAAATTCGTATAAAATCCAGTTCTTGGAATATGAGTATGAAAATTTCCCAAAGTGTTAATAAAAGTGTCCTCTTTCCAATGAACCAACCCGTTTTGAAAAATAACTTTTAGTTTTTGAGAAAACTATGTTTGAAATTTTGATAAAATTTTCGATGTTGCAATTTTCATCGATAACTTGCAAAATTGGCTATAAAATTAATTTCTTGAAGAATCTTTGTGGAAATATCACCAATTATGAATTGAAGTATCCTCTTTTTAATGCAAAAAGCCGTATTCAAAAATCACTTTCAGTTCTTGAGAAATAAATTTTTGAAATGATCGACAATTTTTTCGAATTTTCCAATTTTAGCCGATTAAGTTTTAAAAATTCGTATAAAAGCCAGTTCTTGGAATATGATTATGAAAATTTCCCATAGTGTTAATAAAAGTGTCTTTTTTCCAATGAACAAACCCGTTTTGAAAAATAACTTGTAGTTTTTGAGAAAACAATATTTGAACTTTTGATAAAATGTTCGATGTTGTAATTTTCATCGATAATTTTGAAAATTCGCTATAAAATTAATTTCTTGAAGGATTCTTGTGGAAATATCACCAATTATGAATTAAAGTATCTTTTTAGAGTTGCTTCGTGAGTTAAATCAGCATCAAAAAAGTTTATTTTGTATCTTGGATTCAAATAAGTTGACATATCTTATCAGCTTTCTTATTAATTTCATTTTTATTCAAATATCGTAATAATGTGGCAATATAGGGTATCACTTCAGAAATATCCGGTATCCGGCTTTTCGCAAAATCACTATCCGTTCCATCACTAGTAGTTACAATCTTTGTAAGCGCGTCAGATAATTGTTCCTTTGACGATACATAAGTTAATAACAATTTTTCTTCTTTTACTAAAGTCTTTACAAAGTTATGTTTGACATCAACGTGTTTTAGTGTTTTGTGGTCTGGTTTTTCAAACTACTTTTCGGACTACTTTTAGCAGTCCGATTGTCCATAGTCCTTCTGATGCAGCTTTTGCCAATGCAATGTGTTCAGCATTGTTGAACTCAATGCTACACTTCGTTCCTTTCGTCTACACCACGAAATTGTAGCTCCGTTCAGTACATATGTAGACGTATCCAGTGGTTGATTTTCTGTCGAATATTTCTGTAGCATTTACATAGCACTTTAATTTATTTTCTTCCTTAGATTTGGTTTTAGAGTATAACAGTTTATAGTTTATGGCTCCTTTTATGTATCGAAGTATTCGTTTTAAACCTGTCTAAGTGGTTTTGTTGATTGGCTTGTTTTGAAATCTACTACAATAATTTACAACAGCACTTATATTTGGTCTACTTCCAAGTGCAGAGTATATTAAACATCCTATCAATTCTATATTTGGTACTTTTCTCTTTCTGTTTCGTTTTACAGGTTGACGTCCAAGTTTGCTTCGCATGGTTATGTTGCTTCTTTGCAGTTTTCTATATTAAATCGAGTAATTATTCTTTCAAGATATTGTTTCTGATCTAAATATATTCCGCTGTCTGTTCTAGTAATGTTGATTCCAATAAATTGATGAAGTTGTTGTTCCAACATCTAGGTGCCTCCTTGAGTCCGTATAAGCTTATTGTTAATTTATAAACTTTTCCGTGTCTTTGTTCACATCCTTCTGGTATTGTCATAAATATATGCTTTTTAGTCTCCATGCGAAAATAGACATTTTATATCCAATTGTTCAGCATATTGTATGCAATCGTCTTTGTTTATTAGTTCTAGCAGTATTCTCAATGTTTTTAATCTAACAATAGGTGCGTATAAATCAGATATTGGAAAGTCTTTTTGTTGCATAAATCCTCTTGTAACTAGTTTTGCCTTGTAAGTTTCAGGTTCGCCATTCTTATTTCATTTGTAATTCCTTCATCGTAATTTTTGGGTACGTTTTCTAAAGTGTCGATGTACAATGCCAGGTGTGATTCACTTAAATCGTAATCTTCTAAATGGTTTGGTAATTTTCTGGGTCTTGGACTTTGTCTCAAAGGTTTTGTCTGTTCTTTTCGATTTTTGATTTGTTTTGTTGCATTTTCATTCTTTCTTTCCTCTTCTGTTTCATTTTCTTCTTCTTTTATTTCTTCACGTGTCGGTTCTTCATTTAATTCGATTGGTGTTTCAGTCAGATCATTAATGTTTTTATTTCCATCGAAAATGATACTTTCTCCATAGATTATTTTCTTGTTTGTAAGGTAAAGTATCATTAAGCAGGTGTTAGCGTTTGAGTCGAACTTGTACACAATTCATCCAAATACTTTTATTTTCTTGAAGTTGATTTTCTTTTGATTAAACATTTCTGCTGGTAGCTTATTTTCTTTTAACGGTGTTATTAGATGTTTATTAGATAAGCAGCGCAATAAATTGTTACTCCGCACATGTTTTTGTGCAGTTTTGAATCCAATTACACAGATTTTGCTTTTACAATAAGTGTTCTGTTGGCTCATTCAGCAACTCCGGTTTGTTCAGGTGTGTACCTTACTGTGTTCTGGTGTTTAATTCCTTTCTCTTTGCAGAATGATTGAAATTCCTTTGACATGTACTCAGTTCCGTTGTCACATCTCAAGATTGAAATTCTTTGAATTTTGCCTTCCTTTTTAGCTATTGCTATTATTTTCTTGTTTTTGATCAGTACAGCTTTTACCTTATCAAACTTTATCTCTATTCCTGCGAGAGCGCGCTTTTGTACCGAAAGTAGGTTGCATCTCAGATCTTTTACATATAGAACATTTTTTTATTTCTGCCATTTCATTTATTAATACAAACATAATTTTAATGTTACCTTTAAAACTTGCTTCACATGCTTGTTCCGTTTTGGCTTCATTTATTCTGGTTCTTGTAGCCAGACCTGTTTCTTCCTTGAAGTAATTTCTTGTATTTTCTAGAAGATCATTTGCCCCTGAATCCAGATAGAATTCTATTCTGATAGCTTTATTCTTGATCTGGTTTTCACAAACTCTTCTTTCTAAACTCTAACGTGAGCTTCTCTTTTCTTGAAAGGACATTAGTTTTTCTTATGCACAACTTTTTCCCAATTGAATTTGAAAGCAATTGTGTTGGAATTTGTGTTGAATTTTCCATTCCATCTCTTTGCTGGATGTATCCTTCTTGATCCAATAATATGGCCTTTACGTTAATCTACAGTAAGTTTTTCTCTTTCAATGAGTTCTAAGGCTGTTGCTATACTATCAAATCTTCTGGGTAGTGTTACCAGTAAATGGCATATCACATCTGTGTTTTCTAAGGTAGCTAAGACACTTTTAACTAGTAGCGGAACGAATATCCGGCAACTATCCGGCTTTGGACGGATATTAAAAACCGATTACTTAGTACTCCACCATTCACAGGAATTAGTATCTCTTTTAGGAGTTGGACACTGCAGATAATAATCAAGTTCAACCCCAATAGGATTTTTTTCATTGAATACAACTTTATTTATATCAGGTTTGTCATTAGCAACCTCATTGCAACAATCCCCATACGATATATAAAATCTCTTATTGCAGTTTCGTCTAGTTTTCTTCTCTTCACTTATAATTCATCATCACATTCATTACTAACAGAACTGTCGTTGTTATCACTTTCGATTATTAATTAAAGTATCCCCTCAAGTTAATTAAACCCGTTTTCAAAAATCACTTTCAGTTTTTGAGAAATAAATTTTTGGAATGATCGACAATTTTTTCGAATTTTTCAATTTTCGCCGATTAAGTTTTAAAAATTCGTATAAAATCCATTTCGTGGAATATGAGTATGAAAATTTTCCAAAGTGTTAATAAAAGTGTCCTCTTTCCAATGAACCAACCCGTTTTAAAAAATAACTTTTAGTTTTTGAGAAAACAACATTTGAAATTTTGATAAAATTTTCGATGTCGCAATTTTCTTCGACAACTTGCAAAATTTGCTATAAAATTAATTTCTTGAAGGGTCCTTGTGCAAATACCACCAATTATGAATTAAAGAATGCTCTTTTTAATGTAACAAGCCGTTTTCAAAAATCACTTTCCGTTTTTGAGAAATTATTTTTTGAAATGATCGACAATTTTTTTAAATTTTTCAATTTTCGCCGATTAAGTTTTAAAAATTCGTATAAAATCCATTTCTTGGAATATGAGTATGAAAATTTTCCAAAGTGTTAATGATAGTGTCCTCTTTCCAATTAACCAACCCGTTTTGAAAAATAACTTTTAGTTTTTGAGAAAACAATATTTGAAGTTTTGATAAAATTTTCGATGTTGCAATTTTCATCGATAATTTTCAAAATTCGCTATAAAATTAATTTCTTGAAGGATCCTTGTGGAAATATCACCAATTATTAATTAAAGTATCCTCTTTTTAATGCAAAAAGCCGTTTTGAAAAATCACTTTTAGTTCTTGAGAAATAAATTTTTGAAATAATCGACAATTTTTTCGAATTTTGCAATTTTCGCCGATTAAGTTTTAAAAATTCGTATAAAATCCAGTTCTTGGAATATGAGTATGAAAATTTCCCAAAGTGTTAATAAAAGTGTTCTCTTTCCAATGAACCAACCGGTTTTAAAAAATAACTTTTAGTTTTTGAGAAAACAATATTTGAAGTTTTGATAAAATTTTCGATGTTGCAATTTTCATCGATAACTTGCAAAATTGGCTACAAAATTAATTTCTTGAAGGATCCTTGTGGAAATATCACCAATTATGAATTAAAGTATCCTCTTTTTAATGTAACAAGCCGTTTTCAAAAATCACTTTCAGTTTTTGAGAAATTAATTTTTGAAATGATCGACAATTCTTTTAAATATTTTAATTTTCGCCGATTAAGTTTTAAAAATTCGTATAAAATCCATTTCTTGGAATATGAGTATGAAAATTTTCCAAACTGTTAATGAAAGTGTCCTCTTTCCAATTAACCAACCCGTTTTGAAAAATAACTTTTAGTTTTTGAGAAAACAATATTTGAAGTTTTGATAAAATTTTCGATGTTGCAATTTTCTTCAACAACTTTCATAAATCGCTATAAAATTCATTTCTTGAAGGATCCTTGTGGAAATATCGCCAATTATTCGTTAATATCGCCAAAAAAGTTCATTTTGTATCTTGGATCCAAATAAGTTGTCATATCTTATCAGCTTTCTTATTAATTTCATTTTTATGCAAATATCGCAATAATTTTGCAAGAAAGCAGAAATTATAACCATTATGGCCGGATAGATATGCCGAATAACCGGATATCCGGCCGAAGGGGATGCCGAATACCGGATATTCGGCTTTTCTCAAAATCACTATCCGTTCAATCACTTCTTTTAACTTTCTAATTGTTTCATCAGATGAAAGTTTCGTGCATAGTAATTTTCTGCGCAAGTACAGTTAGTTTGCAATACTTTTTCTTTCGAACAGATTTTCCAGAATTTTCCAGATCTCTTAGGAGGTGTTTTTATCTTTGAGACAACTTATTATTATTGACTAACATTTCCTGTCTTTTCTTTTGAAGTCTTCAGTAGTTCAGTAGTTAATTGAGATATAATAACCTCGCCGAACTAAGTTCCTCGTGCATTATTAAAGTTAATTTATCAGTTACAAGAATTGGAAAGCACTTACAATCATAACTGGTTTAAACACGTTGGTCCAGGTGACTCACTTATTGCATTAAGTATATGAGCTAAACTCATAATCTCATTTCTATTAACAATTTATTTCGTATGCTTAATTATTTACTGTATTAGAAAGTAATAAAGTTAGTTATTTTAAAAATTTTTTTATTATTCTTAGAATCAATCCCATTTTTAAATGTTTATTAGGAATCTCTACTTTTCTTAGAAATTAAAAAAATAATCCAAGATTTTCACAAAATTAAATTTATACAAACCAGCTTAATACCTTCAAAGCAGGGATTAAGCAGCTTCCACTTAATTCTACCCTTATCAATAAAGATAAAGAGAACAAACATTTTTTGGGATAACAGCTTTTAAATAGGAGCTACGCCCAAAAAAATATTCACAACTAAAAAATGCGGCGATTGTGTTTTGGGGCGGTTTTACTCTGCCTCGTTGCGGGTGCTTATTCTCAAGTAATAACTTGTAATGATGTGAGTTTTGTTTTGGGACAGACTACGATTACGCTTGGAGGCAATTTATCGATAAGTCGAAATGACGAGCATTTTTGTAGTTATACTAATATTAGATACGCAACGCCGCCAATTGGAGATTTAAGATTTCATGTAAGTTTTATTTATAACAATTATTAAATTTAAATAATTAAATTAATTAATAGGATCCTGTGGCTCTTCCATCTCGTTTTCCTGCCGGTTTGCAAGCTCAACTCCCTGAGGCTTATGGCCCTTACATTTGCGTTCAAGAATTTCATACTGGAATTGTCGGCGATGAAGATTGTTTAGTTTTAAATGTTTTTACAAAAAGAACATCAGCTAATGCAGGACAAGTAAATTTACCGGTGATGGTTTGGATCCACGGTGGAATGTTTAAAACGGGTTCAGCAAACAGCGGTTTTCATGATCCACAATATTTATTATCCCAAAATATTATCGTCGTGACCATAAATTATCGTTTAAACGTTTTCGGATTTTTATCCTTCGATAATCCACAATTTGGAATCCCAGGAAACGCCGGTCTTAAAGATCAAGTTTTAGCTTTAAGATGGATTCGCGAAAATATCCGTCACTTTGGTGGGAATCCCGAACAAATTACACTTTTTGGACAAGGAGCTGGAGCAACTTCGGCTCATTTTCACGTATTATCGCCGATGTCTTCAGGATTATTTCACAGGGTTATTTTGCAAAGTGGTACTGCTCTTAATCCGACCGTTGGTGGTTTAAGGGATAATGGAGTAATGATTGCACGTGAATTATCACTGAATGCTACTAATGTAGAAAGAATGTTGGAAACTTTGAGAACTATGTCAGCGGAACATCTTTATTTTGTACAAAATAGATTGTTAACGGTAAGTAAGAATTAAAAATAAAACAAAATTTTTAAACACAAACTTAGCTTCTTCGTTTTCTGATGTGATTACATCATTTCAATGTCTATTGCGGAAGATTGCATTAAAGATAGTAAAGATAGTGACAGAGTACAAGATTTCAGAATCTTATTTGTTGCTGACTAAAACTTCTAAACAAATTTACAAAATAAACATACAATTTTTAGGCATATCCGAAAAGATAATTTCATGAAGGAATCTCGTTTCTATACAGTATCTTAAGATCCCCAACTTAACTCTAAGTACTTTAACTAATTGATATAAAATGGGTACCATTTCCAAGTGCTTGGAGAATATTATATATTAATGATTAATATTGTTATGCCAATGGGCAAGTACAGAGTCCATCAGTGAAACCTGACGGTTTTTGAACGTGGATAACGGATGGTGGGGAGGTATAGTTGGTCGCTATACCTTTTGCTGATGTGTGCCTTTATCCCTGAGTCAATTTCGTTTACATATTCCTCGTGAGCCTATTCCTTTCAGAAACACTTCTTTTGTGGGTTCGGAATTTTCGCAATACAGGAACAACGAGGAGAGGAAGCGAGGAATCCCCAGCGATTACACTGAGAGAAATAAATTGTACGAATTGTATTATAGAAAAAATATTATACTTGCAGCAATTCATTGTATTACATTCATTATATTTATTGTACTGAATACAATCTCGTCTCGCTGTCACTATTCGTAGTAAACGTATTATACCTTATAGTATATTTTTAGTGCATAGTACAATCCATTTCTCCCAGTGTAGCTACTCGTCATGCTCAGGTCCTACTTAGGGACGTCCGATAGGATTTTTCATAAGGCTTAAATTTTCTCACGTACAAAACTGTTGTAGTTCAATAATTACAGCGTCAAGATTAAACAATGTTATGGATGATTTCTCAGTCCAAAAGTAACCGTTTAAGCTGCAGTTTGTAAAACAGCTGATGATTTTTTCTTCCCTGCGTTACGTGTCCGACAAATTCCTCTTGAGAGTGTTTAGTTTCAGCAGGATGAAGCGACTGCGCTTCGCTAAAAAGTTTATTTCCCAGAAAGTTGATCTCTCTCATTATTGTGGTGACATTCGGCACAGAACAAAAACCAAATTAATTAATTATTTCTTAGTTTTTCTGTTCATACCGCAAGCGACCACGACTCATTAAGTTGCCTGTCCTCGAAAAATATTTAAATTATGTATTGATATGGTATCGATGTAGCGCCTTGACCGCAAACGACCTCGGCTTTATTAACTTGCGTATCCTTGAAAAGTATATAAGTTATTTATTGATGTAGTATCGATGTAGCGCCTCGGCCGCAAGCCACCTCAGCTTTATTCAATTGCCTATACTTGAAAAGTATATAAGTTATGTATAGATATGGTATCGATGTAGCGCCTCGGCCGTAAGCGACCTCGGCTTTATTAAATTGTCTAGAATTGAAAAGACAATTTTATTGATATGGCTATATAACTCAGAATCATCCCTGATCTATCTTAACATCATTCATGGTATCTTCGAAAATTATCCCCGCTTTCCCTAATATTGTTTATGTCCTGAAGATTTCCTAACTTCTGATCCTTTTTATATACTCTCCATCATCCACTAACGTCGTCTATGATATCGCTATACATCGTCTCTGATATCTTTGTACATCGTCTTTAATATCATTAAACATCATCCCTGATATGACTCAGAATGACACATGAGGATGCCATCTTCCAGAATCATCCTCGCCTTCTCTAATATTGTTTATGGTTTAAAATCCCTCAATATCATCCTTAAGATGTCTAAACATAATCCCTAGCAATGTTCAATACTTCTGATCCTTTTCATACACTCTCCACAATTCACTAACATCGTCCATGATATCGCTATACAGGGTGTTATAAAAGTAGCCCCATACTTAGGCTATACCAGGCTATACATAGACGATTTCTCCAACTAAAAATAAACAAAAAAGTGTATATAAACATATTATGTCCTAAAATGGTTCGCTACTGAGTTACAGCCACTTGAAGTTTTTCATTTTTTATTTAAAAAAGGTTACAGGAAACGGGAGTTTTTAATGTAAATCATAACAAATGTTCAAAATGACCTCCACGGGCAGCAACACACTGCTGAGCTCGTCGTATCATGGATTGCCTCACGCGCTCAAATATTCCTGGTGTATTTCGAATTTGCTGGCATCCATCTTCCACTCTACGTTGAATATCCTCAATATTTTGAATTGGAGTAGAATACACCATACATTTTAAATGTCCCCATACGCAAAAATCGAGAGGATTTAAATCGGGAAACCGTGCAGGCCACGCTACAGGTCCACCACGAACTTCCAGGATATACGGCATTTAAAAATTCGCATGCTGTGAGAACATGCGTTCTCTAACATTTAGTGGAACAGCTTCCAGCAAACCTGGTAAATCGTTTTCTAAAAAATAACGATAATTCTGCCCAGAAAGTCGTCGGGGAAGTACAAAGAACCAATCAAGAAGTCGTTGATAATTCCTGCCCACACATTTAATGAAAACTGCGCTTGATGTCTGGACTGAATAATAGCATGAGGGTTCTCTTCTTGCCATTGGTGTAAATGATGAAAATTGACGATACCATCTCTTGTTAAGCCAGCTTCATCACTAAAGAGCAGACACGTCAGAAAGAGACGATCGGCGACGCATATCTGTAACAACCATACACAGTAAGCTTCTCGTGGTGGGAAGTCATTCTCATTAAGTCCCTGTACTCTTTGCAGGTGATACGGATAAAGCTGATGAGTTCTTAAAATCCGCCACACACTCACATGATCGACAACTTCCGCCAATGTAATTCTTCGAGTACTAGCACCTGCATTTTCTTCAACACGATCCAACACACGTTCTTTCAAGTCCAAAGTTCTTGTAGTTCGGACTACTGGTTCGAAGGATCTTGTTTCCCTTAATCTAATATGAAGCCTTTCGAACGTTTTTTCATTTGGTAAACGTCGATTTGGGAAATGGTCTGCGTAAAGTCTTCTTGCTTCTATTCTGTTGCAATGTGCCAAACCATACATTAAATACATGTCGAACATCTCTTGGAAAGAATAATCTGCCATTTTGTACTAGACTGAAAACAAAAAGCATGGACTGCCTACTTAATATTGGTCTGAACCATTTTAGGACATATGTTTATATAAACTTTTTTGCTTATTTTTAGTTGTAGAAACTGTCTATGTATAGCCAGCCCAACATTTTTGTAACACCCTGTATATCGTTTCTGATATCTTTGTACATCATCTTTAATATCATTAGACATCATCCCTGATATGACTCAAAATCATTCCTCGTGTGTCTTAACATCATCCATGGCATCTTCCAAAGTCATCCCCGCTTTCTCTAATATTGTTTACGGCATCCCTCAACATCAACCTTAAGATCTCTAAATATAATCCCTAACAATGTTTAATATGTTAGGCTTATATAACATGTTCTGATGCTTTTAATATATTCTTCATCATCCACCAACATCGTCCTTGATATGTCTCTACATCGTCTGTGATATCTCTGTACATCGTCTTTAAAATCACACAATCAGACAATCGGTGGTGTAGTGGTCACTACACCTCTACAAACATTATAGCTAATATTGTGTTATTTCGAACTACCAACCTAACAAATCCGATTTCCTAAGGTAAAAATGTTCCTTACAACTGCCTTTGGCGCATTCAAGCAATATAACGTTGGTAAACGTAGCAGGGCTTTAAAGTACCTATGATTATTAAAGGGTTAAACATCCCAAAATCACCCCGCTTTCTCTAAAATTGTTTACGACATCCCTCACACATAATCCCTAACAATGTTCAACACTTCTGATCCCGATGCTCTCCTAGCTCCTTGATATATCTAATTATCGGCCACATCATTCAACATCAGTTCTATTTTCACCTAATATCGTCATCGACTTCATCAACATCTCTTTATCTCATTTATTAACATTATCCTTGATATTATGAAACGTCATTCTTGATATGTCTTAGCATCATCACCTTTATGTTTTTACATAGTCTATGATATATTTCAGAATCACCCCTGATTTTCCTTAACATTGTCTATGGCATCCCTCAACATTATCCTTAAGAACTCTAAACATAATCCAGAACAATGTTCAAACTTCTGATTCTTATCATACACTACGCTATACGCTATACATCGTCTCTGGTATCTCTGTACATCGTCTTTAATATCATTAAACATAATCCCTGATATGACTCAGAGTGATTCCTCAACATCATCCATTGCATCATCCAAAATCATCCTCGCCTTCTATAATATTGTTTACGGCATCCCTCAACATCATCTTTAAGATTTCTACACATAATCCCTAACAATGTTCAACACTTCTGATCCCGACGCTCTCCTAGCTCCTTGATATATCTAATTATCGGAAACATCATTCAACATCAGTCCTATTTTCACCCAAAATCGTCATTGACTTCATCAACATCTCTTAATCATCTATCAAGATCATCCTTGATATTATGCAACGTCATTCTTGATATGTCTTAGCATCATCTCCGTTATTTTTTTACATAGTCTATGATATTTTCCAGAATCATCCGTGGTTTTCATCAACATTGTCTATGGCATCCCTCAACATTATCCTTAAGAACTCTAAACATAATCCCTAAAAATGTTCAATTCTTCTTATCATATACTGTCTAACATCCATTAACACCGTACATAATATCGCTATACATCGTCTCTGGTATCTCTGTATAACGTGTTTAATATCATTAAACATCATCACTGATATGATTCAGAATCAATTCTTATATGTCTTAACATCGTTTATGGCAACGTCCACAATCATCCTCGCCTTCTCTAATATTGTTCAATACTTCTGATCCCGACACCCTCCTATCTCCTTGATATATCTAACTATCGGCCACATTATTCAACATTAGTTCTGTTTTCACCCAAATTCGTCATTGACTTCATCAACATTTCTTCATCATCAATCAACATCATCCTTGGTATTATTAAACATCATTCTTGCTATGTCTTAGCATCGTCTCCGTTATGCTTTTACATAGTCTATGATATCTTCCAGAATCATCCCTGGTTTTCCGCAACATTGTCTATGACATCCCTCAACATTATCCTTAAGAGCTTTAAACATAATCCCTAACATCTGATCCTTTTCATATACCTTCCATCATCCACTAACATCGTTCATGATATCATACATCGTCTATGATATCTCTGTACATCGTCTTTAATATCATTAAACATAATCCCTAAGAACACTTCTGATACCGAAACTCTCCTAGCTCCTTGATACAACTAATTTTCTGCCGCATGAATTCATCAACATATCTTCATCATCTATCAACATCATCCTTGATATTATTAAACATCATTCTTGATATGTCTTAGCACCATCCCCGTTATGTTTTTACATAGTCTATGATATCTTCCAGAATCATCCCTGGTTTTCCCCAACATTGTCTACGACATCCCTCATCATCATCCTTGAAGTCTCTAACAATTAACAAATAATAATTCTTAATAATTCTCAACACCGTCCTTGTCTCAATACATTCTCTATCAAATCATCCCTAATATCGCTTAACGTTGTGCTTGATATCTCTTAACATTCTTCCTGAGTTCCTGTTTCGGATATCTTCGAATATCATTCCATCCTCAACATTATCCGTTGGCATCAAAATTGTCCTTGGCACATCTCAACTCTTTCTAACAATATTGTTTCTAAGTATTCTGAGAGCTCATGTTACTTTATTACAAACTTTTTTGAGAAGCAATTTAGAGAGGAATGCAGTGTTTTAACATAATAAAGATGTCCTTATGATCACTTAGATTTTCATCTATGCTGATGTTTCACTCTTTGGAGATTTTTACGAATTTTTCATCAAAGCGTTAGGATAAGATCTAATAGGGTAGTCCAGCACAATGTACTGTATAGATTGTTTTGAAGCTCCGCAGTCACACTGAGACAACGGCAGCATCCATTTTGTATCTATTATCTCAGATTCCATGTCCCATACGTACTCTGTTGAAGTTCTTCTGTAGGTGGCGGGGAAGTCCAAATCTTTTTGGTTCTTGGTTGAGGAGAATCTGTTGGTTTATTCTTGGTGTTGCTTTGATAGTCAAGTCTTCTTCTCATAGTTGATGTTATAGTTGTTTCTAGCCAGTTCCTCAGCAAGATTTAATGGAGTGTATCGGGATTTGAGGCAATTCATATCAAGATAGGTTTTCATGAATCAGCAGCAGTTATTTTCTTGAACTCTTTTACATGAAGAGGGGTGGATTTAAGACATCCTGATATTGTTTTCATACACAAGATCAATTGTATGTCGATTTTCTGAGTATATGGACTGTTATGTATTCTGCAGCAGAATAAACCAGTGACATGGCAGAACATCGGCATAGATAAAATTATCTTGCCCTCTATGCTTGGTAGATCCGATGTGTATAAATTATTAAGTATGGGCGCAAGAACTGAGCAGTCCTTTGTTCAAGTTTTTTTTCCTCACTGTAGCATACGCAGTTGTCAGACATCTTTGAAAGCTTCGTTGCGTTCTGAAACCAGCTTGTATTGATGATGGTGCATTTCATATTCTACTTCAAGTTATAATTTATGCTGAGTCTAATTTATTTTATTAAATAACAAAAACATTTTGTTTTATTTGTAATTTTTTAAATTTACTTTTAATTTATAACAAATAATTTCAGGATGAACCAATGGCTTTCGGTTCTATTTTTGGTCCAGTCATAGAAAGAAACATAACCCAACAATTTTTAGCCGATGATCCTTTTGACTTGATCAGTAGAGGTGAATACAATGATGTTCCTATGATGATCGGTTACAACGACGCAGAAGGGATAGCTTTTCATTTGATGCTACCAACAGATCTTACATTGATAGTTCAAAACCATTTGGCGATTACCCAAGCTAACAGATTAGCAACAGTTCGGCAACAAATTCAAAATTTTTACTTCCCCACCTTAAACATGACCAACAATGAAACTGGAAGAATATATATGTTTACGGATGCATGGTTTGGATTTCCTGCTGTTAGAACTGCGGCTTTACATGCTGGAGCATCCGCTACAAATATTTATTTGTATAGATTTTCTGGTGATACCGCTTTAAATGTGTTTAAAAGAAATAGTATTTGGACGCGTGATTTTATTGGTGCTAGTCATGAAGATGATATTGGATATTTGTTCCATACATCGTTAACACCCGAGATAATACCAAACACTTTGGAGTATTCCGCTATTGATCGAATGATTACTATTTGGACTAGTTTTGCAATCAGCCCACAAGCTGTTCCGGGCGATAACACAGTTAATTTTGTATGGACTCCAATTGGACCTCCTACTCCTAATACTTCAGCGATTATTAATTACGCGGCGATTAGTACTTTGGTTACAGCAATGAGTGAAAACCCTGACCGGCATAGAATTGATTTTTGGACGGATATTTACGACAGACATTTTAGACGCAGCTCGGCCACGATTGCTAAAGGATTTATTATCTTAACTTTAACGTTAAGTCTTTTTAATCTAGTCGTTTAATCCTGAAGCAAAAATAAATATTTAAAATAATTGTTTTAAACCAAGTAGATTAAGTGAACTTATTTTATTTATTATTTTATTGTTGTATCTTTTAGGATTTAATGTTTACGTCAAGGTGTTAATAAACGCTATCTTATTGTATTAAAAATTTGTTATGTGATATATGAATAAAATAAATTGAATAACTGAACAAAATATTTTTATAGAACACCACATCTTTAAAACGATGTATAATACGTTATGGGTTGGATTATAAAAATATTTAGAAAACCAATCGTGAAGATTTCAAATTTTTCATCTTAGTGTCAAATTGATTAAATACAGGCTGAAACTCAAAAATGTATGGAAGGGTTATTTATGACAACTAAAAAATGTAATTGGTCTCAAATTAAAGCTGATGATTCCTTCTTTAAGATGGTGTATAATACATATTGGGTTGTATTATAAAAATATTTACAAAAAAAATCGCGAAGTTTTCTAAATTTTTCATCTTAATGTCAAATTGACTAAATACAGGTTAAAACTCAAAAAATCGTGAAAGGGTTATTTATGGTAATTAAGAAATGTAGTTTGTCTCAAATTGAAGCTGATGATTTCTTCTTTAAGATGATGTATAATACCTGTTGGGTTGTATTATAAAAATCATTAGAAACAAAACCGCGAAGTTTTCTAAATTTTTCATCTTAATGCGATATTGATTAAATGCAGGTTGAAAATCAAAAATTCGTGGAAGGGTTATTTATAGTAATTAAAAAATGTAATTGGTCTCAAATCAAAGCTGATGATTTCTTCTTTAAGATGATGTATAATATATGCTGGGTTGTATTATAAAAACAATTTAGAAAAAAATCGCGAAGGTTTCTAAATTTTTCATCTTAATGGGAAATTGATTAAATGTAGGTTGAAACTCAAAAAATCCTGAAAGGGTTATTTATTGTAATTAGGAAATGTAATTAGTCTCAAATTAAAGCTGATGATTTCTTCTTTAAGATGATGTATAATACATATTGGGTTGTGTTATAAAAATAATTAGAAAAAAATTCGCAAATTTCTATAAATTTTTCATCTTAGTGTCAAATTAATTAAATGCAGATTGAAACTCAAAAATTCGTGGAACTGTTATTTTGGGTAATTAAGAAATCTAATTGGTCTCAAATTAAAGCTTATGATTTGTTCTTTAAGATGATGTATAATACATGTTGGGTTGTATTATAAAAATAATTTAAAAAAAAATCGCGAAGTTTTCTAAATTTTTCATCTTAATGTCAAATTGATTAAATGCAGGTTAAAACTCAAAAAATCGTGGAAGGGTTATTTATAGTAATTAAAAAATGTAATTGGTCTCAAATCAAAGCTGATGATTTTTTCTTTAAGATGATGTATAATACATGTTGGGTTGTGTTATAAAAATAATTAGAAAAAAAATCGTAAATTTGTCTAAATTTTCATCTTAATATGAAATTGATTAAATGCAGGTTGAAACTCAAAAAATCGTGGAAGGGTTATTTATAATAATTAAGAAATGTAATTGGTCTCAAATCAAAGCTGATGATTTTTTCTTTAAGATGATGTATAATACATATTGGGTTGTGTTATAAAAATAATTAGAAAAGAAATCGCAAATTTGTCTAAATTTTTCATCTTAATGTGAAATTGATTAAATGCAGGCTGAAACTCAAAAAGTCGTGGAGGGGTTATTTATTGTAATTAGGAAATGTAATTGGTCTATTAAAGCTGATGATTTCTTATTTAAGATGATGTATAATGCATATTTGATTGTGTTATAAAAATAATTAGAAAAAAAATCGCAAATTTGTCTAAATTTTTCATTTTAATGTGAAATTGATTAAATGCAGGTTGAAACTCAAAAAGTCGTGGAAGGGTTATTTATTGTAATTAGGAAATGTAATTGGTCTCAAATTAAAGCTGATGATTTTTTCTTTAAGATGATGTATAATACATGTTGGGTTGTATTATAAAAATAATCAGAAAAAAAATCGTAAATTTGTCTAAATTTTTCATCTTAATGTGAAATTGATTAAATGCCGGTTGAAACTCAAAAAATCGTGGAAGGGTAATAATTAAGAAATGTAATTGGCCTCAAATCAAAGCTGATGATTTTTTCTTTAAGATGATGTATAATACATATTGAGTTGTGTTATAAAAATAATTAGAAAAAAAATCGCAAATTTGTCTAAATTTTTCATCTTAATGTGAAGTTGATTAAAGGCAGGTTGAAACTCAAAAATTCGTGGAAGGGTTATTTATTGTAATTAAAAAATGTAATTGGTCTCAAATCAAAGCTGATGATTTCTTCTTTAAGATGATGTATAATACATGTTGGGTTGTATTATAAAAATAATTAGAACCAAACCGCGAAGTTTTCTAAATTTTTCATCTTAATGTCAAATTGATTAAATGCAGGTTGGAACGCAAAAAATCGTGAAATGGTTATTTATGGTAATTAAGAAATGTAGTTTGTCTCAAATTGAAGTTGATAATTTCTTCTTTAAGATGATGTATAATACATGTTGTCTTGTGTTATAAAAACAATTAGAAAAAAAGTCGGGAAGTTTTCTAAATTTTTCATCTTAATATGAAATTGATTAAATGCAGGTTGAAACTCAAAAAATCGTGGAAGGGTTATTTATAGTAATTAAAAAATGTAACTGGTCTCAAATTAAAGCTGATGATTTCTTCTTTAAGATGATGTATAATACATGTTGGGTTGTATGTTGTATTGTAAAAATATTTAGAAAAAATAATCGTGAAGTTTTCTAAATTTTTCATCTTAATGTCAAATTGACTAAATGCAGGTTAAAACTCAAAAAATCGTGGAAGGGTTATTTATGGTAATTAAGAAATTTAATTGGTCTCAAATTAAAGCTGATGATTTCTTGTTTAAGATGATGTATAATATATGTTGGGTTGTATTATAAAAATAATTAGAAACAAAACCGCGAAGTTTTCTAAATTTTTCATCTTAATGTGTATTGATTAAATGCAGGCTGAAACTCAAAATATCGTGGAAGGGTTATTTATAGTAATTAAAAAATGTAATTGGTCTCAAATCAAAGCTGATGATTTCTTCTTTAAGATGATGTATAATATATGCTGGGTTGTATTATAAAAATAATTTAAAAAAAATCGCGAAAGTTTCAAAATTTTTTATCTTAATGTCAAATTGATTAAATGCAGGTTGAAACTCAAAAAATCGTGGAGGGGTTATTTATTGTAATTAGGAAATGTAATTAGTCTCAAATTAAAGCTGATGATTTCTTCTTTAAGATGATGTATTATACATATTGGTTTGTGTTATAAAAATAATTAGAAAAAAAATCTCAAAGTTGTCTAAATTTTTCATCTTAATATAAAATTTGATTAAATGCAAGTTGAAACTCAAACAATCGTGGAACGGTTATTTATAGTAATTAAAAAATGTAATTGGTCTCAAATGAAAGCTGATGATTTCTTCTTTAAGATAACGTATAATACGCATTCGGTTGTATTATAAAAATAATTAAAAAAAAAATCGCGAAGTTTTCTAAATTTTTTATCCTAATGTCAAATTGATTAAATGCAGATTGAAATACAAAAATTGTGGAAAGGTTATTTATGGTAAGTAAGAAATGTAATTCAGAAAAAAGTAACAAAATATTTTTATAGAACACCAAATCGTTCGAAAATATCCAACCAAAAACTCATATTTTCTTCATCAGGATTAACTCCGGAAATATCGCTATATGTCCCAATATCCATATAATTTAAAACTCCATCAACAACCGGTTCCCAATGATCACCCTCTATTAAAGGATGTGAATCTTTAGCAAAGCTGCCAAATATTCTAATAACACGTTGGAGGGCAATCTCTTCTACAGAACCGTTAAGAATTTCTGGTGATATAACCGTTTTAAATAAATATCCCAAATCATCTGCATGAGCAGCACCTAGAAATCCCATCGAAATCGAATCCCTCTGCTTAAAAATGTTTAATTCAGTATCGGCGGAAAATCGATAAAAATAAATGGGATATTCATTATTTTTAACATGTTCAACAGCAGCTCTTCTAGCAGGAAAAGCAAAAAATGTGTCTGTATTAATATTAATGAAAGGTAACATGTAGTCAGGGCTAATTTCAACATCGCCTTGATAAAATTCTTTTATTTCTTCCGCCAATTTAAGCGCTTCTGGTGTCCCTGGTAAAATTCCTAACTCATCGGGGACAAAAGCAAAAAAGTCAGTGACTGGTTGGGGTTCTCCCGTTGCACCCCGAAGTAATTGTTCAAAATAAATCCCTTCCGCGTCTGTGTACCCAATCATCATTGGAACTTTATTATAATTTCCTTCTCGAAGAATTTTCATTGGATTATCCGGTAAGAAAGCTGTCTCTTTGTGTTTTTCTACAGTTGGCATATTAAAACCTCCCCAACGCATGGGATAAATCTAAAATTATCAAAATTAAATTTAAAAATGAAAAAATTACGAAATTACTAGAGATAGAAGTAAAAATCCTTGTATAATAAATTGAGGTGGAAGATATTGAAGAGTCAGAAACATTTCCATAGCATCATCAGTGGTTACTCCTAACACTTGAGCTAAATATAATCCGTTATTTTGAACCCCCGTCACCCAAGGACTAGTTCCCACACCACTTTGCATAATTGCCTTAGAAAACAATCCTTTGGATTGCGGAGAAAGAACGTGAAGATGTACACTAGCACCACCGGCGCTTTGACCATAAATTGTTACTTGATCTGGGTCACCACCGAAATATTCTATGTTTTTTTGAACCCATTCCAAAGCTAATCTTTGATCTTTCAAACCAGCATTTCCAGGAGCTCCAAAAGAAGGATCATCCAAACTAAAGAAACCTTTTTTGTAATAAATAAATTCAGTTAATTAAACGTAGTATTTAAATTATAATTAATATTTACCAAACATGTGAAGTCTATAGTTTAAATGAACCATAACGATATCTTCGGTGATTAAAAATTCAGGTC